AACTAGCAACAACAAATGTTGGCGAGGGTGTGGAGAAAAGGAACTCTTCTGCACTGTTGGTGGGAGTGCAAACTGGTCCAACCACTATGGAGAGCTGTGTGGAGATTTCTGGACCTACTAAACATAGAGCTTCCATATGATCCAGCAATTCCACTCCTAGGTATTTACCCAAAGGACACAGAAACATCAATTCCAAAGAACACCTGCACCCCTATGTTTATAGCAGCACTATTTACAATAGCTAAGCTTTGGAAACAACCCAAATGCCCAAAAATAGATGACTGGATCAAGAAGATGTGGTACATATATACCATGGAATATTACTCAGCATTCAAAAAAGATAAACACATGCAATTTGCAGCAACATGGATGGCGCTGGAAGGGATCATGCTCAGCGAAATAAGCCAGAAAGAAAAAGAAAAATACCGGATGGTCTCACTCATAGCAGGAATCTAGAAAACTTAAATAAGGGACCAGGAAAATGAATAACTATAAGAAAGTGAAAATCAAAATCAACAAAAATCTATGAACCAGAGACACTTTTGTGGGGGTGGGTGGAGGGAGGGGAGGGATTGGGGTCAAAATGGGGGGGTTGAAATTGTATGGGGAATATAAAAATAAAATTTATTATAAAAAAAAAGAATATGTGGTATATATACACAATGGAATACTACGCAGTGAGCATAAAAGATAAATTCATGCCATTTGCAGCAACATAGACGGAACTTGAAAGGATAATGTTAAGTGAGGTAAGACAGAAGGAGAAAGGTAAATACCAGAGGGTGTCACTAATATGTGTTACATAAAGTAACTAAATAAACAGTCAGATAAAGACAAGCTTAAAAACTAACCCTTAACAGCTAACTACAGACTGAAGCATTGGGGGTAGGGTTTAAGGGAGGGGAAAAAACAAAGAGGGAAGGAAGCACAATGGTCTATGCTGGTGGATTATGGGTGAGTGGGTGGTAGGTGCACTATGGTGGTAAAGCCTGATGGGGGTATCCCAATATTACCTCAATTAAAAATAAATAAATAAAATAAAAATATTCCAAAGCAAGAAAAGTACTGAATTAGCTATCTTTTTATATTCCTTTGGAGGTCTCAAATGGCAGTGTTTCTCTCAAAGTAATTAATTTCAATATCTTACTAATAAGCCAACGAAGAATAGCCCTCCAAAGGGGTGATAACAATTTATATCCCCATCAGTACTGGATGGAAGTTCCCACATTTTTTTTAAAAGATTTATTTATTTATTTATTTATTTATTTATACAAGCACTGGGTACAGTCAGAAGTGCGGGAGGGTGAGAGAATTCACCAGAGTCAGAGCGGGGAGCACAGCAGGCAGAAGGACCGAAGTACACTGCTGAGGGGAGCAGCGGGCGGCAGGAGAGGTCTGCGCGCCATGTGGGACCCTCCTCTGGTGGCCGGGGAGCAACCGGGGATCGAACCAGTGCTGCAGAGGCCGCGGGCAGCTTCGCAACCCAGCACTCAACCGCTGCGCCACCGGGGAGGCCCAAGTCCCCACATTTTTCCCACAATTTTACCATAAATTTAAAATTTATACCCCCCAAAGTTTTAATAAAGACTTATTTAGGACTTGTTTTATGATGGTATTAAGTTAATTATAAATACTAATATTTGTGTTTGCATTATCACTAAAAGTAGAGGAACTATTATTACCCCTATTTTATAAAGGAGGAAACCAAAGCACAAAGAGGATAAACTTATTCAAGTGGTGAAGAAGGGACTCAAACACAGATATAGTCTGGTTCCAGAGTTCTCTCATTACTGTTTAAAAGCTTGGTATCTTATATCAGAGATTAACTGACTGAAGATTAAAGGATAGTTATCACAACCATGCAACCATTAAAAATTATGTATTAGAAAAATTTATTCAAAATTCACCATTATTTATCAGGTCCATACCACATAGCAGGTAACTGTTCTAGGCATTTAGGATACAGTAGTTATGGAGTAAATGTTTGTGTACTCCCAAAATTCAGGTGTGGAAGATCTAAATTGCCCAGTGTGGCTGTATTTGGAAGATGGGACAGCAAAAGAAATAAATTAAGGTTAAATAAGGTTCTAAGGGTGGGTCCTGACCCAACACAAGAGATGTCGTACAAGAAGAGATGCCAGAAGAGCCCTACTTGTTCCTCCCACTCTTTCCCCTCCTCCCTCCCTCTGTGTGTGTGTGTGTGAGAGAGAGAGAGAGAGAGAGAGAGAGAGAGAAAGAGAAAGAGAGAGAGAGCGCGCGCTTGAGAATCCCCCCAAGGAAAGGACATGTGAGATCATAGTGAGAAGGTGGTTGTCTACAAGGCAGGAAGAGTCCTAATCAAATTAGCAGAAAACTTGATTTTTGACTTCTAGCCTCCAGAACTGTGAGAAAATATATTTCTGTTGTTTAAGCTACCCAGTCTATGAAACTTTGAGTGAGGGGGATTTGAATAGGCAAGTAACATATTTCTGATCTACATTTAAGTTAGGCTTAGAAATACATACAGGGCTTATATAGGGAACATATAATTTGAGGGATGTATTTGTACATAAAAAGCCTTTAACATCTTTCCCTCAAATTATATGTTCCTTATATAAGCCCTGTGTGTATTTCTAAGCCTAACTTAAATGTAGATCAGAAATATGTTACTTGCCTATTCAAATCCCCCTCACTCAGAAAGCTGTGTGGAGATTTGTTAACCTACTAAAGATAGAGCTTCCATATGATCCAGCAACTCCACTCCTAGGTATTTACCCAAAGGACACAGAAACATTAATTCAAAAGGGCACCTGCACCCCTATGTTTATAACAGCACTATTTACAATAGCTAAGCTATGGAAACAACCCAAATGCCCAAAAATAGATGACTGGATCAAGAAGATGTGGTATACACAATGGAATATTACAAAGCAATAAAAAAGATAAACTCATGCAATTTGCAGCCACATGGATGGCGCTAGAAGGGATCATGCTCAGTGAAATAAGCCAGAAAGAAAAAGAAAAACTCCGGATGGTCTCACTCATAGCAGGAATTTAGACAACCTAAATAAGGGACCAGGAAAAAGACTAATTGCAATAAAGTAAAAATCAAGGTCAACAAGGAACTATAGACCAGAGACACACTACAGTAGGGGGCGGGGGGGAGGAGAAGAGGGATTAGGGTCAGAAAAAGAGGGTAGGAATTGTATGGGGAATATAACCAAAATGAAAATGCGTACATTATGCAAAAATGAAAAATGGTGAAGAATTATATAAAATAATTTACTAAAAAAAAAAGCCTTTAATATCAATAAAATTCCCTCCTGGAAACAATTTAAAAGACCAAACTCCATTTACTTGGTCCACGTTACCCATTTTAAAGAACCTAGAAATGAAGATAAGTTAGCTAAAATAGACAAATAGCAGGCACAGTCCAAACTATAGAGAGTTCCAGAATTATAACTCATTCCAAAGACAGAATACCAAAACTTTTCTTGATTGGTGCCTAAAAGGTGAGCTACTGAAAGAGGTTAGGCTCTCCTTCCTTAAACCTATCCAAAAGTCTTACATGATTTATCAATCACTCAAACGGACCTAAATGCTATTAGCTCTTCTATTTCCTCAATATTTTAGTGAAGTAGTATGAATCCCTAAAACACCTATCTACTGACACTAGTTTACTCATTATGTTTATATAGGTTTTTGGGCAACTAATAGTGTCTCCCAACCACTGTTGTAATTTCGCAGTCAATAAAACCAAACCAGGGCCTCCCAGGTGTTGTAGAGGGTTGAGTGCAGTGCTGTGGAGCTGTCCGCAGCCTCTGCAGCGCGGGTTCGATTCCTGGCCAGCCAGAGAGATTGCCGCATGTGGCTGCAGACCTCTTCTGTCCACGCCCACTGCTCCCCTCAGCAGTGCTTTCGGTCTATCTGCCTTTCTGCTTCCCACTATGTCTCTGGTGGGTCCTCTCACCCTCCCGCACCTCTGGCCTGTATCCCAGCTATTGTATAAATAAAAAATAAATCTTTAAAAAAAAAAAGAAAACCAAACCAAATACCTTACTTACCCCTTTTATGTCTCCAATCCTATACTACCTTAAACTTTAGAATGTATTTTGACACACAAAAGTAGATGAAAAATTTACAAATATAAATACGATTTCAGACATAGTAGTCAAGAATGCCAAGAAAGTGAACACAAATTATGAAAATATTGAGTCTAGTCTTCAAAATTTTTACCTCCTCCCCCTTTAACTTGTAAGTGAATAGCCTTACTATTTAAGCACAAATGCTATTTGTCATGCTATTTGTCTATGCTATTTGTCATTAGCACTGCTAGGAGAAAGTTATTGGGGGAAAATATATGCAATTGAAAAAGTAAAATAGGTCACTAATTAAAAACTCACACAAACACATTTCCAAACTTGGCTGCTGAATGGGGCCCCCAGCCCCTCGAGCCACTGGCTGTAAGCATAGGGGTACAGTCAGGTAGAAATAATCAAGCAATAAAAATAAACTTAGGTTGAATACATCAAAATTTTTCAGAAAAGCAGATTATACCCATGGAATTTTTAACACACAATCATTCAAATGCTATTTTATTTTATGGGAAACAACAAAGGGGTTCATGAATGTCATTTAGTAACATAAAATTTTAAAAAAAGTCTCTGCATACTCTCATTATAAGAAAAAACTTGCAAAAATTTAATTCTTTTTTTCCTAAGACTTTTTCTGTGAAACATTTTGCACTGTTCCAAGAAGTCATTATGGATAAAATGAAAGGTGGGGGTGAATCATTCAAACATGCTCCTTTCCTTCTCATCTGGCATCAGAAATGATCTTATCAATGACAGACACAGGATACTTTGGTAATAGCCAAACACAAAAGTTGTTCAACAGTACTTCTACAATAAAATACTGTAGAAAGGTAATACATTGCAGAACCAAGTTTTCTGGTTATTAAAGAAAAATGCCAATGTAATTTTTAAATCCCACTGACGTAAATGAAAGTAATATTTACTTACTTTAGCAATCTGCAGCAACACAATGCAGTGTTTAATTGACTCTACCATGCTCTATAAAAACAAAACACTGATTTGAGGATCTTGCTTCAAATAAGTTAAAGGTTAAAATACAAAAATTCAGTTAAATATAAATTACACAAGAGATATTCTCCCTGGATATCCAGTGAGTTCTGATATATTGATAGTGTCAAAAGAGGTTATTATAGCAATTCTATGAATTGTTAAGAAATCACAAATATTGTAATATTGCATATCATCTAAATGTTTTTTCAATACTTTAAACAGAAGAGATGTGAATCTAATTAACTTCCAAATTCTGAGATCAGCAGCAGATAATTCCAACGTAAATTCTGAAAACATTTTTTAAGACCTTAATGGAATTACAGAGTATTCTACCAAGACACTGGTGAAATGCTATTTTACATAGTTTTAAAATGCTTTTATCCAAATACAAATCTTATTAATAACCCACTATCTAATGCCAGAAGGCCAGTATATCAAAAAACTCAAATCATAATATATTCTAATTATATAAGAGATATATGTTGTGCATGGATTAGCAACCTTTTATCTAAGGATCTCAAACAGACAAGACGAAAAAAGATAAAATGGTACGTGAAGTCAATTTCAATTAGAGGGATTAATCTAGTCACTAAAATTCCTTTGGAAAATAATTCTTAAACCTTTCATAAAAACTACAATCTCAATTACTACTATTAATAGTGGCAACTTAAAAACAAAAGTAGCATTTTAAAGCACTTTCTAATGCAAAATCAGAGTTTATCAAATATATAACTTACATTTGTGGTCTCTTTGAGAGTTTCGATTTTCTGTGAAAATAATAAGTTTTAACAAAAATAATCAGAAAAGCAAAGCAGTATCTCTGTTGCTTTTAACTAGTCATTTAAGGAATTTTACCAAAATTACTCTAAGTGAGTGCAGGCAGGTTAGGAAGGGAATACTTTTCTGCTATACTTTTTATTTTAAATTTAAAAAATCATACATTATATGGATTAATTCTTCAAATAAAATACATGTTATTCAAGATTTGTAAGAACGATGCAAATCATTTTTATTCCTTACCTGAAGTTAGTTTTGTCTTTTCTATCTGATTCATTATGTAATTTCAAAATGCTTATTTTAGAATCATCTTAAACTAAATTGTTTAAAAATAGCATGGGTCTTGGGCCTCCCCGGTGGCGCAGCGGTTGAGCGCTGGGTTGCGAAGCTGCCCGCAACCTCTGCAGTGCCGGTTCGATCCCCGGCCCCTGTGCGAGGGTCCCACATGGCGCATAGACCTCGCCTGCTGCCCACTGCTCCCCTCAGCAGTGTACTTCGTCACTCTGCCTGTTCTACTCTCCGCTCTGGTGAATTCTCTCACCCTCCCGCGCCTGACTGTACCCAGTTTATAAAAAAAATTTAAAAAAATAAAAAAAAAATAGCATGGGTCTAAATTCTAAAACTAAGAAGAAAAGGTGAGTTAAATATGAGTTATTACAATTACCAAATGTAAAAGAGCCAAACTGCAAGACTAAGATCAACAGAAATGCTAAAAACAAATGATGTGCATCAGAAATCTGGTCAAAAGGGGGAAAAACGTTAACTGAAAAAAGAAATCAATATTCCAACTACAATATAGTTGGCAGAAATCCAAAAGGGGATACATGCTACTATTTTGTAGCAGAACTATGAAGCAACACTTACATAGTTTCCTTATCTGTGGCTTCTGGTTTATTTTGAAAATTCTTGCCAATTGTAAATAACTGTAAATTGTAAATGTAATAATTGAAATTTCTACTTTTAATTTTTGAAATCTGAAAAGGAAAGTTCTTACTCCTAGGAAGGTGGTACTTACAAAAAAAGGCCTTTTGTTTATAAAACCAGAACAGAAGTGCACCAGAAATCTCCCCTGTAAGTCTCTATATGGCAATACTTCATAATAGGTCAAATGATACTATTTGGTAATCAAAACACTGAAGTCCTTTTTTTATTTCTCCAAAAGGCTCTTGAATTTAACATATTTATACAAAATCATGATTATAGAAATTACCTTTCTCTGTTCATCATCTTTGCAGTTTTGAAGTTTATCATCAAAGAGCTACAGGATTAAAAAAATCATATAGCATCAATCTGATTTACTACATAGTATACATTTAATAAACACAGAAAAGTAAACTTTCATTCTTAAACACATTTCTTCCAATGATGATTTATGCGTATTTTCAAGATAGCATGCATTTTTTTTCAAGTCACTATAGCAAGTTAAACTCAAATGAATTATTTTCAAGAATAGAAATCACTCACTCTTGGGGCCTACCTGGTGGCACAGGGGTTAAAGAGCGCTATCAAGCTACTGCCAGCCACTATAGCATGCGATCCCCAGCAGACAAGGAACTAACCCACATGGTGCAGCAGACCTCTCCTGTTGGACTGCTGCTCCTCTCAGCAGTGTATTTCAATACATCTGCCTGTTCTGCTCCCCACTGTCTCTGGAATCTTCACACCCCCAACTCCCCCACCCGGGCTTACACCCCAGTTCTTGTGTGCATAAATAAATAAATCTTAAAAAAAGAAATCAATTACTCTCATAAAATTATAACCAAAGAAAGCAAATGTTTTTTAAAGAACTTAAAACAGGAGAGGTTTGCTGTGCCATGTGGGAATCTCCCTGGCCACCTGGGAATCGAATCTGCAGAGGCTGTGGACGGCTTCACAGCACTGCTCTCAACCCACTGTGCCACCGGGGAGGCTCACTCATAGCAGGAACCTAGAAAACCTAAATAAGGGACCAGGAAAAAGAATAACTATAAGAAAGAAAATATCAAAATCAACAAACAACTATGAACCAGAGAGACACTATGGGGTGGGGGGGGCAGGGAAAGGAGGGATTGGGGTCAAAATAAGGGGGTTGCAATTGTATGGGGAATATAAAAATAAAATAAAATAAAAACAATAGTAATATATTAACTATAAAAAAAAGAACTTAAAACAGAGGTTCAAACCTAAGAGTTTTTTTCTGCTTTGTCATGTAAGTTTAACAACACCCCTGTTTTCCCTCCCAAGACTGTTGCTTGTAATTAATTTTAAAGTAAAAATTAAAGGAGAAAAAAAATTAAAGGAGACAACTCATTTAAGTAAAGATGAGGGAAGCAGAGAAATCATTTCTCCTACCACCCATTCCCCACTATGGAAAAAACAAGGTCTTGGAAATCAAGCCATTTAAAATCAGTTTCATAGAATTTTTTGGCATCTAATCTTATAATATTTTCCTTCTAGTCATGTCCAGATATTTACCTTTTCTAATGATAAAAACAATGTACACTATAAATAATACTATTTACCAAATTTGAAATGAAGACCTTTGAATACGTCATCCAGATCTTTTAATAAGTCAGCTTTAAAAATTGTTGAAGAACCACATAAGATTTGTAAACTAACATCAAATAACTGTTTTTACACAAAATGAAGGTTAGTAACATTTACTACTTTACATCAATTTAATACATATTAATGCCATACCTTTAATTGTTCTATTAAAATTTGTAGGTAAGCATCGGCCTCTGTAAGTTTCTTATCAAAATCTTGTACACTAGGAACAAATCCTGAATCCAAACCCTGAAGAAAAAGAAAATTTGCAATAAATCTAGCAGCACCCAGATAATGTTTGAGTACAAAAGACAGATCATTTTTCATACATGACATTTCCATTTTAAAAAAAAATTAGTACTTTTACATAATTGGTGTACTTAAATTACTTAAATTCTCCAAGAATAATTATACATGAATCTTCCTCATGAACATCTAACACTATTCCCTTCTCATCCATTACACATGCTATTGCTCAAATTAGGATTTACTCTGCCCTTCAGAATCTGTTCTCCCAAAAGCCTCATAATGGCTCCCAGTCACCTACAGAGCAACAATAATTTAACTAAAGGAATACCTAGATTACCTCTGATTTCCCCCTACATTTTGTTCAGTAAATTCTTCCAGTCACTTCATCTTAACTTCATATTCTTACTATTTTGTTCTCCCTACCCAGGTGTAGGTTAAGAACGCTTAAGTTTTTCTCTTCCTCCCTTATTTAAAAAAAATGAATCTCAAAATTCTCACCTCTTTTATGAAGGCCCTCCTTAACTCAAAATGACAGTGCTTTTCTCCTAATAAAGTTCCCTACTTACTTTCACTGTTGGCATGAACACTACACTTTGGACGTGGTGTAAATGTTTATTTATTTAAAGGGTACACTTATTTCTCAGTTTAAGAGTCTGGCATTTGCATTTCCTACTTTCTGTACACTAAAAATTTTAAGTTCCAAAAGTATGGGATTTTTACATTTTCACTTAGAAGAAATTTTGAGTCTTAACCATCTCTCACAGAAAAAAAATCAACCCATGGTGTAAAAAACAAAACAATTGGAGACTGAACAAGAAGACTAGCAGCTTGCCATATTTGCATGCCCAGTTGTCATCCAGATAAAAAGGGAAATGAAGGTTGTAAATCACTAATGTCACAACCCCTACCCAACCACAAAACTCTGTACAAAGTGGGTGAAATACAGTGGTTCGACAGACTACACTTGATCTTCACTTATTTTATCTTCCCCCTGCCTTTCACCAAAACATGATTATCACTTTCACGATCTCCATTTTAGTAAACTGAGCTGAGCTCATTTTCTATTACACCAGCAGTACACTATAGCATTACATAGCAATAAACTTTAGCATTACACTAGAGCACTTTCACAATCATTATCTCAAAACACTATATTGAAAAGGTATGCTATTATGTAAATAATAATAGGCTGACAAACCTGGTTTCTAACCGCAGCTAAGCCACTTAGAGATGCTAAGCTACTGTCTCTCTGAGTCTTTTTTTTACCTGTCAAGTATAGGTATCGTGCACCCACTATTACTGATGTTGCAGATCCTACATCTACTAAAGACTAAAATTATGGTCACTATCAATTACCGCTATTAGTACTATTGCTTTGCCCAAAGTAAAATTCAAATTCTGAATCAGAACACTAGGCACTTAAGTCCTATTGAGCACATGGAACAATCAACTTATATTGTAGTCCATTTTCTCACCAAATTGAAAGGCAGGCAGTAAAACTGCCTTTTTTATTTTTTACACACATAAATAAAATGCTTGAAATGAGTACTGAAAAACCCCTTCCCAATGAGATGTCATGTATAAAAAAAAATTTAAGAAGGAAAAATCATAATAATCTATAATATAGCCACATGTTTATTAGATATTTATTAATGATTAAATATCTTCATCTCTAAAGATAACCCCAAAACTTCCTATTAGAAACATATACTATGTAGAGTATGATAATAAAAGGTATGGAAAAGGAAGGATAAATTATCATAATATACAGTACTGTACTAAGAAAAAGGGCAGTAATTTCTTTCCATGTTACAGTACCACAGAAAAATTAGGACTGCTTGGGCTTGCTTTTTGTTTTGTCTCACAGAGCAATATAACTATCAATAATTTATAAGACCCAGTTAAAATCAACTAATTACATTGTTCTTGCTAAATATGGTAAGTCTCCCAGAACACTCCTTTGCCCCTAGTCCATATGACACAACATCCAAGATCTACCTACCAATCCGCCTTTCTTTATGTAATGCATAATGGGAGACTTACAACAAGTTATTAGTGTCAGCTCCCAGAAAGGGCCTAAACTCTCTTGCAGTCTAGTGTACTTAAAATCTAGTGTACTTAAAATCTAATAGTTACCCCATCTCAATCAATAAAATAACATATACATACTTATGAACAGTATGCATACTGATAGTAATTAAACTGTTTTCTCAAATCTCATAAGAACGCACTAAAAAAAAATAGAAATTTCCACTAAATCTTGATTTAAAAGAACAGAATTAAAGCCACTTAGTCCAAGGATCCAAGCTCCCACTCATATAAATTGCTTTTATACTGTCTTTGAAAGTCATTTAGTCTTTGCTTGAGTATCTCAAAAGGAATTCATCACCTTCCAATAGATTACTTCATGAAAATCCTCTTAAGTCATAACTATTTCTCTTTTCATTCACCATTTACAATATCAGACATTATACTTAGTTATAGCCTTTTTAATGGCATTTTTGTTCAAAACAGATAAAAACATTATAGTCTTTAACAGAAGTGGTCTGTCTTCTGGGAAAAAAATCTCAGAACAGGGCAAGTTCTTCAAGACAGAGTCATGACTTCAAATTTCTTAAGTGACAACTTACATTAGCTCCTGAGAATAAGTAGGGTGGTGGTGGTGGTGTTGGGGGCTAAGCAGATATACATTCAAATACCGGGACTTGCATTATCTATCATCTATCACATTTTATAATTAAACATTTTATTATAAAGTCTACAATGGCAGGGACTGTGCCATTCATTCAACACTATACACCCCAGGACTAGTTCAGGACTGGGTGAGTATTTGTGATACTCACTGCAGTGTCAGATAATTGCTAATGTCATGATAACAACCTTTTCTGTGACCTTTTTTCCTAGATTTTTCTTGCTTTCTGTTCTCTTTCTCCTTCATTTTTTTTACTCTTTCACTTCCTTCTTCACGTTTTCCTTTCCCTCTCTTTTGTCCATGTCCTTTTGGAGTAACTACGATGACTAAGTTGTACTTACAGCAATCAGGACCAAAGAGGTTGCTACTCACTAATTTATATACTGATGAGACATAGTTCTAACTTGATTTCTGTATGAATGTATTTAAAGTCTAAATTACAAACACAACTATTAAAGAGGAAATAAAGACAAAATGGTCTGTGCTATAAAAGAAATTAAATTAGAGGGCCTCCCCTGGTGGTGCAGCGGTTGAGCGCTGGGCTGTGAAGCTGCGCGCAGCCTCGGCAGTGCCAGTTCGATCCCCGGCCACTGGGCGAGGGGCCAATGTGGCGCGCAGACCTCTCCTGCCGCCCGCTGCTCCCCTCAGCAGTGTATTTCGTCAGTCTGCCTGTTCTGCTCTCCACTCTGGCTCTGGTGAATTCTCTCACCCTTCCGTGCTTCTGACTGTACCCAGTGCTTGTATGAATAAATAAATAAATCTTAAAAGAAAAAAGGAATTAAATTAGAAAAACTCAACAGAAATTAAACCTGAAGCTAAACTAAAATTAGAAATCAAGGCAGCTCTTCCTGTCCGCCAGTGCCTATGCAAGTGTCTTTTATTGTCCTATCCCTTTTCTAATAAACCTACTCTTTAATTATAAAAAAAATCAAAATAAAAACACACTGATATGACAAATATACTAAAAACAAAACTATCTCTAGCTTTTCAAGAGTACTTAATAAAGTGTGTGTGTATACATATATATGTGTGTGTACACATGTGTATATATGTATAGACATATATAAGTATGTGTCTCTGTGTATATGTGTGTGTGTGTGTGTGTATATATATATGTGTGTATATATATATATATATATATATATATATATATATATCAAGGAAAATAACACATGGTTCTCTCTCAGTCAGGATAGACCCAGTTTAAAATATATACATAGAGGGAGGTATCTGGTCCAATTGTAGAGAAATTTTAAAATCACTACCTAGACTGGTAAAATATCAAGTCTCCTCAAAACTGTTTATGAAACTACCTCCTACTTTCTTCTACATTTATGTTGAATAATATCACTTTTCTCTTTTCAGAAGGCACTTCAAAGCTAACAAATGTTAGCAAAATTATATGAATTTCTATTAATGACGTTAGTTGGGACATTGAACAATTCATACATATGCATCACCTAAGCGTCACACCTTTATTAAAAAGAAAAATATTACAAGGATGTCCTTAAAACTGTCTTAATTACTTATGAATTATAGCTGCTTTAAGAGAGACACTTGTTAATAAAACAGTACAAGAGACAATTTTGAAGGCAGTAAGACCTTTTAAAGTTAACTCCTGTGCGTAGAGGAAGAGTAGTGAATAGTGGCAGTAAGGTGGTCAAGGGAGGTTTAAGGTCTTCTTAAAGTCAGAATCAGGAAATAAAGTTAGGGGTAATATGAGGAACTGAGGCTAAAATAATGTAGAACAAAGGACTATGGCTAGATAATAATATTGTAAAAAGGTATTCAAAAATGAGTATTTATTTTCCTATCATATATTATTTCAGAGCAAAAACTTAAAGGAGTAAGTCCCTTGTGTGCACTGCTTTTTCTCTTAAACGAAAAAACATATAATCAAAACGTTGCAAAAAGAGAAAAGGGAAATAGAAATAGAGATATCACTCCATGTAAGTCTCATCAAAAAGTTGCGAATAACAAGAAAGCAGAACTTCTTGGTAGAACTGTAAAAGAGAGTAACAGCTTAAAAAATTAACACTGGAAAAACACCAAAGAAAACAAGCCTCCTAACAACAACAAAAAAAATGGCATGGATCTGGACAAAAGTAGATGATTTTTAAAAATAAGCAATACACATCCTTTAATTAAAATAATGAAAGCTTTGCAGAACTGTCATTTTGATTAAAATATGAGAGTATGCATCACCTAAGAGTACAACATGAGAGTAATGTTCACAATTAGCAATTTGAGATGACATGCATCACAGATATGCTTTCATCCAATGAAAGAAGTATAGGGCATACTTACAATTGAATCACTTACAATTATTTTTGAAAATTCAAGAACTGGAGAGATACCAGAAGACTGGAAAAAAGCAAGTGTGGTACTGATCTTCCATAAAGGTAAGGAAAAGAGAGAATAGAAAGTTACCATGCTGTGAGTCTGACATCAATAATTAAGAGAAAAATAAGAGAAAAATCTGTAACTATACAGAGGAAAAGTAGGTACACAAGTAGCAAATGGTATAAGTTTGAAAATAAATAAGTGAAAGAACATATTATGCCAAACTTTGTGGCTTTTCTGTTTCTCAGAAATTTGTCAGTAAATTAAGTTTTTGGAGAAATGACACCCTTTTGTTGCCTAACCAAATACTTTAAAAGTTGGTTTACTAATGAGAAAAGTATATTAAGAAAGCAGAAATATTAAGACCATAATTTTATATGGGCTATACTATGATTTCCTTAAATTACTGAGTACTTATTTTCTCTTGAAGGAAAAAACAGTATATAATCTGTTGTCTGTCCAACCATTTCAGCTAAAGGAAGAACAGGATTTAGAGAGGTTTGAAGGTAAGAATTCCCTCTATTTTTCAATTCTAGAAAATACTCAAAAATCAATTAATTTGCAGTAAAGATTATCTTTTCAAAAATGTCCATAAAATTGGGCCTATTATTAAACTCTTTCCTCCACTATTACCTTCAGTCCAGTAAGTTATTTTCCATTTAAATCAATGTCCTGATAATTTAAGGCTCCAAATTTAGTTTCTCCTTAATCAACAAGGTAGCTATAGCTATTTTACCAACAAATGCTAAGTACCCACCCCAACAAGGCTCTAAAAGGTAAGGTATTTTCTGTAGTTCTAAGCAGTTCCATATTTCTTAACACCATGGATTCACCATGGACACACTATATACATAAGTTTTTTTTCTGACTGGTAGGTCCTCTATTAGATACTTTACAGGTTTCTCATTTATTACAATATAGTAAGGTGAACAGATATTAATCTAATTTTATAAGTGCTCGCTTATCCAAATCATCCAGTAGAGTTTTTTTTAAATTGGTATTTTAACCCAGTCCTTTGACTTCAAATCCATAATATTTTTCTATTAAGGCACAAGGCCACTTGAAAAGAAATCATGGCATAAGAGCACTAATCGGTAATCTAAAAAATTGCCTGAAGAAGCCCAATATAATGAACACAAAAGGACAGATCCTGAATCTGCAACTTCTAATCAATTACCTGCACAATATGAAATAACTGTGAAAGCAAAGTTACTTTCACTGTTTCTATTTTCTCTAGGGATGAGAATAATACTAAAGTACTCAAGGTTGCTGGATAGATGAATAAAACAACACAAGGGGTGTTCCGCTTCCTTGTCAAAATTTGGAATCATAAATAACAAAATCTACCTTTATACCTCAGGCCCTAAACTAGAGCTTAACTTAAAGGCATTCAATTAGGAGTTGATGACTAAAAACAAAATATATAACTAAGTAATGCCATAAAACACATGAAATATTCATAGAGAACTACAACTGAGAAAGGAATATATAAGCATAAGTTAAAATGTATTTAACTTCTTTTAAAAAAAGGAAAACAAACAGTAACTTGAACACTGGAGAAGATAACAGATAATAGTACTTTTTAAAGGTATGTGCAATAGACGAAACAAGTGGTAATTTATAGTAATGGAGAACATATCAGAAAAAAACTCCACATGAGATTTTCAGAAGGTATTGGGTATTATGCTAACCACAAAAGGTTAACTGTACTGAATTATTATTACATTTGTCACAATGTGTTAAAGAATGTAAGTCCTTTTTGCCATAAAGCAATCTAATATTTGAATACAAATTTGTTTTTCCGCATTGAAAACAGAACTGCTTTTATCTTTACATTTACAATAAAAATAGTTTTATGCATAAGAATTTGTTTGAAAAAATGCCACAAAACAAATTTGAGTTGTTCATATAGTTGTGAGAAAAATGAACTGCTTTGTCAAACAGGAATCAGGTACAGACAATATCCAAGAACTTTAATCACAACTTTTAGAGTAATTGCTTGCTCTTTAATATCTCTTCATCTAATAATGATTCTTTTATTAACCCTTAGACTTATAGAATAAAAGACTAATATTGATTCCGCAAAGTTATTTGGATACTCAAATAAATAGCTGCACAAAACCAGTTTAGGATGTATAACATTTTCCTCTATTTAAGTCACTGATAGTTTTGTCTTTCCAAAAATACTTCTAATTTATTCAAGAAAGCCACACAAAAGTTATTCTCAAAACTAAATAAAACAAAAAAAATCTTAAATTTACAAACAGGATGACCACATATTACCATTTGCCTGGGACAGTCCCTACTTGTGCCTGTTATCTCAACAAAATTACTAGCAGCCCCCTTTGCTGTTACAAGTGTCCCACTATAAAGTATATGGTCATCCTCTGTATAAAAAAAAAGTAACTAACATTTAATAATATAAATGCCTGGAAGGCATATAAGATTGCCTTAGAGGTTTCAAAATGTAGCAAATTACTTTTTAAAAAATCAAAAATGAAACGCAATTTTATAGGCTCTGTATGTAGAAAGCAAACTACAGAAAGAGAAGACAGCAGAAATCAAGTCAATTAATATTAACTGAATGGTTACCTTATGCTAGATAAATAGACACATGAATATATAGTACATTTTTTAAAAAGTTCCTTATATACACATACACACACACATTCTCCCCCCCCCCCACTGAAATAAAACACATGAAACAAAACACATAAAACATATTACTCCTAGGGAATGGAACTGAAGAAAGGGCATTTGAGATAGGGATTGTTAATTTTTACTTTACACATTCACATTGTCTGATATTCCTCTCCGTGGCAAGTAATGCAATTAACAGGTTGATGCATGAAATGGATGGAGCAAGCTCCTATTCCATCTCCTGATTCCAAATATTGATTTAATATACTGTCCTCAGATAGAGGATGTATGAGATATTAAAAGACAAGAGCAGATGTTACAAATGAGAAGTGTAAGAAAGGGCTAAGAAGTGATGATTTTTTAAAAAAAAGTATGCATTAATTTACGTGAATTTGATTTAAATAAAAAACTATGTAAAAAAATTGGAAATTGTACAGGTTATAACTATTTTTCAAAAATGTTATGAGTTTAAGCACAGAAAATCACCAGCATTATTCTATTAAAATTATCCAAAAATCCAAAAATATCTTCAGAGAATAAATTTGGCAATGTTGAAGCTCCTCAAGATACACCTTTCCAAGCAAAATAAAATATAGCATAACATCACTTATAAAGTACAAGCAAAAAAAAGGCACTTAATAATTAGCAATCATCACTACATGAGACTAAAAGCTGAGAAGAAAAATGGCCAGTAAAACAAAGAAAGTACATATTTTCCACATTCTTCCTGCCAATAACATGATTATGACTCAACATTCAAGAAAGCAAATTCATAAAAAACAGAAACACCTACTCCATCACTCCCTCTAACAAAGCACTGTTTGACCATATGGTGTTGGCAAACAGTCAATGTTTTCTTCTCACACATTATTTGGCCAGCCACTGGAAATGTCTTTAAGGCAAAAGTTAAGTCAGAATCTAAACAGGTTCTAAGATGGGACGGAAAAAATACAATCTTCTCTTTCCAACTTCTTATTATTGCCTAACATTCAGCTTCACAGCATTCTGGAAATCCAAAATTCTCCCTACTCTTGCTCCAAAATTCAAAGTTTTACATAAGTTTTCTGGAGATTTGCTCTATGTATAACTAGGAGAAATTCCCCTTAACCAGATGAAGCCTTAAACTCAGAATTTTAGTAGTTCAAATTTTGACAATGACTGCAGTTTTCATACATAAATCTTGCTGAAAATTTATTATAAAATATTTTCAAAAACAAAAGCTGGCACATCTTCTAACAAACCAGGTATCTTTGTATAGCAAAGTATACCAAATTGAAAATTAAAACAACGCCGTAGGAGAGTTAAGTGATTAACAAGCCAAATCAATCAATCAAATATTAAGGTGTCTATCGCACACAACCAAACAATAGAACAAAAACTAAATTCTATAATTGGTTTGATATTTATCCTTAAAAATCACAAAGTAGTTTTTGTAAATCTGATTTTAGTTACTGATGAATGTCAAACAGTTAAAAGGAAACCGGTTCAGTTTTTCCTAAAGTCATTAAAACTCTAACACAAAATTATCTTAATTTTGCTTAATTGTTGCAAAAAATCGATCAAGATGGTCTGTTATGAATAGAATATATGCCCATGAGGAAAGGACCTTGTTTTGTTCTCTACTGTATCTGCAGGTTAGCTTGGTTTGTAGCAAGTGCTCAATAAAAATCTTCTAAATTAAATGCTACCCATTAGTATTTAAACATGAAAAGTAATCAAAGAACAAGAAATTTCTGCTGATTGTAAATCAGAGCATTCATGAAAAAGCTAACTTACTTAGGTATTCTAATTTATTATAAGTATGGATACTGATTTTTTAAGGATAATTAAGTTCTTAAGAAAATCAATAAAACAAACTGTATTACACATCTGTAAAGATCAGACAATGACAATTAACTAATCCCCTAAAAACTCATTATCTCAACTGGAAGGGATTATACTAAGTGAAATAAATCAGAAAGATAATTTCACTCATACTTGGCTTATAGAGAAAAAAAATAACAAAGGAATTGACAAAACAAAAACAAAGCAAACCCTAGAATTAAGATGCAGCATTAAGGCTGCTAGAGGTGGGAGGCTGGCAGCAAAAGGAGGAGGGGACCCAACAGTCAAGGGTAAAGGACTGTGGGGGCTTTGAAGGTGGGGCTGGTGTGACAACATACATATGAGATGTGACTCTGTTCCACTAAATCATGCACAGTATTGTAAACGAAGAAAAAAATTTCACTCTCTCATGTCAAATCTTCTCATAAGCATATTTTTACATACTACTCTGGGCTTAAAATTCAGTTAAAATAATTATTTATTCATTGGGCATCTTCTGACTATGGCACTGAGCTGGATGCTTTGGGGATGCTAAGAAGGAGAGACAAACCCTGCCCTAAGAACTTCAAGTCTGTTATTGGAGATATATGCCTAGACAGCATATATTTGTAACAGCATTGTTACAAGTAAGTGTTAAGAGAAAGGCACTATTCAAAGGAGAAAGTTATGGAGATGAGGTTTCACAGAGATAGTAGAGGATTCAGACAGTAGAGTAGAGGATTCACTTCAGATGGGGAAGTGAAAAGTATTATAGGAGGAGATATGGGGGAGGAAACAGCATTTTCAGATGGGATGTTTAAGCTTCTCTTTAATAAAGTAACTAGAGAAGTGAGGGTGGGGTTAGGGAAACTAACAATGGATGTTGAGGTACCCAGTTATTAGGAAGTCTTCACCACCCTAAGTCTGAATCAGAGGAGGAACAACTCAAAAGGACACTTGTAGGATATAGACACTGCCAGAAATGCTCCAGAGGAGAGAAGCAGCAACAGGAATGAATACGCCAAAGGTTCACTTTGTTTTTCCCTTTCTATCTCCTGATGCTGCCTCCCATTGGCTAAATCCAACCAGAAGCCAGAGGATAGAAGACCCCAAATGAGAGAGGCTATAAAGATCAGTCTCCTGGAACAGAGTGCATAGAAGGGCAGAGAATGAATCTGCAGGAAAATGGAGAATAACCAGGAAAAGTATACTCCCAGACTCAGGTTAAAACATGCATAGGCTGGAATGGTCTCACTCATAGCAGGAATCTAGAAAACCTAAATAAGGGACCAGGAAAAAGAATAACTATAAGAAAGAAAATATCAAAATCAACAAACAACTATGAACCAGAGACACTCTATGGGGGGGTGGGGGGCGGGGAAAGGAGGGATTGGGGTCAAAATAAGGGGGTTGTAATTGTATGGGAAATATAAAAATAAAATTTAAATTAAAAAAAAAAGAGAAAAAAAATGAGGCTGGAAATCATAAGAAGGCCAAATAAGGAACATTATTCTCTTGGAGAAGTATGTCAGTTATTTCTCAGATCCAGATGTTGAATCGAAAGGAACCCAAAATAAGTGGCTGAACAGGAAAAAGGATCAGGGCTTGGAGGAGTGACAGAGCAGTGGCTAAAGAACAGCACCACTGCAGCACTCCATTCTCCCTAGAGATAATAAAAGATGAAGCATCATAGGGCTCTAGCCCTATTTATTCCAACCTCTGACTGTGTAACCTTGGGCAAGTAATTTGGCTTCTTGGAGACTTGTTTCCTTCACTATAAAAGTAGGTAGAAGGTGATTTTAAGATTTTGTCCAGTTTTAGGATTCTAGCACCTAGTATCTCCAGTATTTCTGTAAAGCTAGTGAACATTGTTATGACTAAATAACTCACCCTATTGGAGAAACCTAAGGTCCACTTATACACTTTTGGAAAAAAAATTTATTTCATTTAAATAAAGATAATAAGAACATAGAGGTTCCAACTACTGCCAAGTCTTCCATGGTATGACAAAGGATGTCAGAATACAAGTAAACTATCATTTAGTGTAGCCTTGAAAGTGAGTAAATAAAAACTAAAGAATGCAGAGAATGCAAACAAACAACTGAATAAGCAGAATAACTTGAAGAGGCCTATTTGGCAAGGGGGAAGTTGCTTAGTCAATATAGCAAAGAAGCAAAATTCTTAAAGGTATCTTCAGAAATAATAGAACTCCAATGTACAAAGGAGTATGAATCTCTTTCCCTCCTTACAGACACAGAGCAATCACTACCATTCATTAATGACACAAATATTTAGTGAATAGCTATTATGTGCCAGGAACTATAATTGTCTTCAAAGAACAGCTTTACAGACAGTACAGTTAACAGCATATATAATCACTACCTAATCTGGCATGAGTTTAAATTTAATCCCATCCATGCAGTGTCCCTAACTTCTCAAGCTGTGTCTTTCCTATCATACTACCCCAGAACCATTTGTGCTTACACTTCATAGTGTAAGGGTTCATAGTACTAGGGTGGATACCTTGGGTAGAAAACTTGGGCTGAGTCCAAACTTGAGAGATAAATTAAGGCCAAGTTGCAAAGGGCTTGAAGAACATGCCCGGCCACTGGGCTCTAACAAGAAGGAATTAAAACATATTTGAAAGTAAAGGTGTGAATCAGCTGGATTTCTTTTTGGATAGAGTATGAACAGGAGAAGTCCAATGACAAGAAGAGAAGAGACTTTGGTAAATAGCTTGGTGAGTGCCTGAATTAAAGCATTATATGGAAAAAGGCAAAATTCAGGAGAAATTACTAGGGCACACTTAATAGGATATGGTGACTGGGCATGGAAAATTAGGGAGCTAGAAAATGGCTTGGGGACTCCCAGGTGGCCTAAGGGTTAAATCTAATCACTATCACCACTATCCCCTGAGTTTGATCCCCACTGAGGGAGCTAACCCACATGTGGAACAGCAGACCTCTCCTGTCTTGCTTGATGCTCCCCACAGCAATGTATTTCAGCAGATCTGCCTATTCTGCTCCCTACTCTATCTCTGGTGAATCCTCTCACCCCGAAACCTCTGGCCTACACCCCAGTTCTTTACCCTTAAAAAAATTTGCTTTAATGACTATTGCTTAAGTATGGCAGAATTTCAATTAATTAGAATATTTAGAGAGGGATACTTGACTTAATTCTGTTTTCAGTCTAAGAACTATTCTTTCCATTGTAACCTTTTTTTTTTTTAAACCTTTACTGAAAAATCTTCCTAAGTATAATTTGAGGGTAAGTACATTAATCATAAAAGCCTCTGTTTCAATGGAATTGCCAAAATATCAGTTATCATTCTACAGTATAAGGTTTAGCTGCTGATAGAACTTGATATATCCCAGGGAATACCCTAGAATTTGCTTTTTAGAATAAAAGTCTTACATCCTCTTTCTCAAGCAATGGAGTGCAACCCACGCTACTGCAGGATTTTTCAATCAGCAGAATGTGGTAGTATCATAATGCTCATTTCTGATTAAACCAAACTTTCATTAAACTAAATTCCCTTCTAATCTTCGTAT